TAAACATACCTGTGAAGATTTGTGTTTTTGTTGTTTGTTTTATGTTTTCTCTGTATCTCCACCCTTCAGTTTTCCAGGTCATTTTCAGTTTACAGTCCTCACCTGTTTTCACTCCCTAATCAACTCTCTCTCCAGCTGCTGGCAATTTCCCTTCTCCTTCAGTTTGTATTTAAGCCTGGTTCAGTTCCCACATACTCACTGGTTCATTGTTTGGTCTCCTTACCAACTGTTTTGATGTCCCCTCATGTTCTTAGCTTTTCTTGTTGTTTTGCTGCCTCGACAGCCTTTTGTTTAATTAAATAAATCATTTTTACTTTAAGCTGCTCGCCTCCGCCTAGATTTGGGTTCGTTCCCTCCTTTACATCCTAAAACCACCTTCAAATACATTCATTTTTGTGCTGTAATTTATGGTGTATATATGTATACAAATATGCATATGTGTTTATGTAAATGTGCATTGGTATATGTACATTACTATACAGTATATCACATGTACATTGTGGGGCTGTTTTTGTTCATCTTTTATTTATCTTTCAATATTCTTCTCAGCCTCTCCTATATTAAGCTGCAGTAATGTGCTAATTTTCCCACTGTGGGATCAATAAAGTTTTATCTCCTCTTATCTTATATCGCCAAATATTTGGTATAAAGTACTACAAGTACAACTGACTTATWGTAAAGCAAAAAACACAGAACTGCTAAAACCATAAAATAAAGAGGTTTCAGTCTCTGTTGATGTGAGGAGAAACTGTGTTCAAGTTGATATTTCTGACTCGGACGTTCGAAATTTCCACTGGAACACGTGTGGAACTGACTTTACAAAATAAAACAGGAAGTGAAGGTGACAAAGCAAAGCAGAAAATATTAACAAGAAAAAAATCAAATCTTGGATTCATGACTCTGTCTTGTTTCATCCTGATGCTCGACTGATTTACAGTCTCATGACTGACCTTCATCACGCACCGCGTCTGACKATGAGTCACTTCTTCAAGCAATGTCAAGATTCAGATCAAAACTTGATTATTTGAAGCAAAATACCCAGCAGGACCGAGTGYGAGGGAATAATTTATTGTCTGCGTTGACATGCTGGAGATGATGTATTTTCATTAGTTTATTCAACCAGTTTTATCCTCAGGATCACATTTTGGGTTTATTTGCTTTTGGCTAAGATGGTTGTGGTTTGAGGTTTTAAGGCTGTTTCAGTTCATATCTGATTTTTTTTCTGCTTCATTTCTTTTGAGTTTTTCCAGCTCTCAGTTTTAGTTTCTTTTCCCCGAGTTTTATTTTCTCAGTTGTCTGATGTATTTCCCCGGTTGATCTTGTCTCAGATTGCCACGTCGCCACCTGTTTTGTCTCACCTGCAGCCCCTCAGTCGGTCACCCCTCCCACCTTTACGTTCTCCTCATTGGTAGTCTTGTGTCTTCTAAAACTGTCAAACTTCAGGGTTTTCTTTTTGTTGTTCGTGGACCGACGAGCTTTTGGCAGCGCCTCGGCTTTTTGTTTTTCGGGATGTGAAGTTCATTAGTATTCTCTGCTGGCCTCCTGCCTGTTTAGTCCTGCGTTTGGTTGCTTCTCTGACTACTCACTGAAACAAGAAGAAAAATCAATTTACATGTAAATGGGGTGTAGTTTTATTTYGTAATTTTTATCATTTCTGTGCACACAGTAAAACAATATGTTCATCTGGAACATCCGGAGGAATTTGTGATGAAGGATTTTTACTCTTTATAACCGAATCAAAGTGTTTTAACCTTCTGACACTTTTTTAGTCATTAACCAATAAGCAGTAAAAAGAAACATTATTTGTAAGATAAACATTTTATGTGAACATAATTGAGCCTGATTTTTTTGTTGATTTAAGTAGTAGCTTTATATGAACGCAGTGGCGCCTGCAGAAAAGTTTTTCGGGGGGGCCAGGGGAGTCACTGAAAAACCAAGGGTGGCACACCAAAATTAATATCTATAACAGAAATTTTAGGATGTGTTTGTAAAAATGACAAATTGAAAACTGTGACAATATAAAGCTATGGTTTTGCCAACAGATGTTCAATTTCTAATTTCACAGATAATATCACTGATGACATTCAGACACCAAAAAATAGAATAAAAAAGAGATTTTTACCTACATAGAAAAACACTTAATGTGAGTATTCTATAGGTAAAATGAAATAAATTTATTTGTTAAGCAAGAGAATCAATACTGGATGAACTAATGTTTTACGGTAAATGTGCGGATTTAAATTACTTAAATTTTAAATTTGATGGGGACAGTTCCCTTCAAAAATGATTGTCATTTTATTTAAAAATTATTTTATTTTAAAGGCATTTACAAGCAAAAAACTTTTTAAAATTTAAAGCCATCACCTCTTCTATGCGTGTAAAAAAATTATTTGCTTGTTGTTTACTTTTGTGAAGAAAAACTGTGATTATAAAATCCCAAAACTGGAAATAAAGACTAAAACAAGCACAATTAAAAACTACATCTACTGTAATATCCCAAATTATTCAGTTATTTGCTTTTTGTGTCATAAATATGATTTTGGTCTGTGAGAGAAAACTGGAGTGGAGAACAGAAAGTTGATCTAGCAACCTTCTTCCTTAGAGGCAATATGTTGCTCTACCAACTGTGCCACTGTACTGCCTAATTTTATATTTATTATATAATTATTTAAATTATTTAACTAATATTTGATTAAAAGATATTTGAATATAACCTCATGAGAACCTCCATCTTTATTTGAGAATATTGGTTTTAGATTGGTTGTCCTTATTCAGAGGTGCTACATTTTAATTTTAATTAAATTTTTTATTTTAAATAAAATATAAATTAATGTTTTTAACTCTTAATTGTTAAAAAAAATCAGTGTTTGTTTTTATTTTTATGGAGGTTCTATTCCTAAATAGGTAGGGGATTTGAAAAAAGGATAAACCTGGGTACTCAAGAGGATAAAACTGGGGGGGGTCATTAGGGTGGTCAGCTTATTCTCGGCCCCCCCTGCTGGCGCCCCTGTATGAACGTTAACCTTTGTTTGATTGGTTTTGATTATTCGATGTACAAAAGACAATGAAGCAACTGTTTTCACATTAAAACAAGATTTTGTTTCTTTTACGTAACGGTTTGATTTGTCRCTCGGCAGTCATTAAAAACGAGGCTTGAGATTTTGTTTGTTTATTTTTGTTTTGCAGACATCTTTTTTTCCTGACTCGTGGTTGATGAAGATGTTTCTCCATGGATAGGCGGGGATGGGCACAAACTGAGCCGACCGGACTCCACCATCACCTGAACATGGCCGATGACCTCTACAGCAGCACCTTCTCCGCCTCCGAGTCCGACTTCTCCTCCTCCTCCTCGTCCTCCGCCTCCTTCCTCACGCTCGAGCAGAGGGCGGCCTTCGTCTTCGTCCTCATCCTCTTCATCTTCCTGGGGCTGCTGATCGTCCGCTGCTTCCGGATCCTCCTGGACCCGTACCGCAGCATGCCGTCCTCCACCTGGACGGACTACATGGAGAAGGACACCTTTGATTACCGGATTTCCTGACAGGCAGCCTGAGAGGCAGCAACCCTGACAAACTAACTGTTAAACCGAGGCGACGATCATTCTGAGAAAAAAAAAAGCAGAGAAAAACACAAAATGCACATTTTCTTACTGGGGATTAAATCACAAATAAACCAAAACAACAAACTATTTTGAACTAATAACAAAAACTGAAGGTTGTTAAATTTGCTTTGGTTCTAAAACTAAAATAAATTTACTTAAACTTCGACTTGTAAGAAAAAATGCAAATTTCATTTTTGAGACGCTGTGTGGGCGTGGCCATTTTTGATAATCGCGGCTTATTTTTGTACACAGCTGAATTCTAGGCTGCGTACATTGTTTTGCTCATGCTTTGTAACCACTCGACCACTGCCCTCAAGTTTATGGTTTAATATAAAACCTCTCCAATGGCCCCCCACAACAGTCAAACATTAGCTTCTGGCCAGGTGCCCCTCTTTGCAAATGCACAAACAATGCCACAAAATATGTAATGAAACTTTTAGAATATTTTTCTCACTTTTATTCTCTGTTTTGTAATTATTACTTTTTTAATTCCCACTGATAAAACAGCTTTTCAACAAACCAACAAGAACAAAAATAAATAAATTTYAATATATTATCATAAAATATATTTTAATATGATTTAAAAACAGATTTTATTTTACGATAGTGATTTAGAAACACTTTTTTAAAATGTTGCTATTTTTTCTTATCTTCCCTCCAGCGTTGAGGCACCCCTTGCCCCCCTGATGGGCCCCCACTTTGAAAAACACTGCTAGAGAACACCTTAGAAATGGAAATAGGCTCATTTAAACCAGTAGGARAAGGCCACAAGACTAAAAGGGTTAACATAGTGACTCCCACAATTATCCTGAGAGACTGGGTTTGTCAAAGCAAAGTCACCATTATAGAATAAAAACTTAAAGAAAGTTTTAACTTTTCTAAGAAAACACATTAAAACTATGTAAAGTTTCAAAAGGTCCTATAAGGCTTGTATTTTCTTAGCGACACTTTAATCAAATGTGAGTGATGAAACCGCTCACTACAGTGGCAGGACAAGAAAAAAGTGCATTTTGTGTTTTTTATTTTAACTGCTTTGAGTCTGATTGTGGCCTCGGTGTGCCCGGCAGGACAGGCAGGCAGCACATCTGAGCAAAAACACAACATTTACCACCAAAAAATGATGAAATTGATCGGATAAAATACATTAGCATTGTTTGTTGGTTCAAACCCAAGAAGCTGACTCTGGCCTGCAGTCTGCAGCGGTGGTTTGTGCTCAGACCTGCTGAAGGTTGGAGGAATCCCTGCGCTCTGCAGCGCTCTGACAGCAGCACTGCAGGACTCAGCAGTGATGCGGTGAGAACAGCCAGCGGATGTCGGAGCGTGAAAGGTGAGCGGGGATTTCATCAACTGCCTGCTGGGCACCATGTTAGGGTTGCTGTCTCTCACGGGAGAACMTTTGTTTTGTCTTTTTGTTTTTTTCCCCCCTTTAAAGAAAAAAAAAGACTTTTTTTTCCTATTAACTGACTTTAAGAACTTATCCAAACAGTTTGTGAAGCTGGCAGAGAAGACGAGGTGTTATTTCTGAGTGGTGGATGTGGAGGTGGATGTGGAGGAGGTGCAGGAGGAGGCCCGGGAGAGTTGAGAGTGAACAAAGCTGCGTTGAATCGGTTTGACTGCAGAAATGAGACGAGTCGGCTTCCAGTGGCTCTCCGTCGTCCTGCCAGCCTGCCTGTTGCTTGGTAACTGGTGGATGTGGGGTTTTTTTTTTTTTTTGGTTGTTTTTTTTGTGTCGGCTGAAGGCTGAAGTCAAAAGATCAGCTCTGAAAGAAGAACGGAGGCATTTCAAAACAAATGACCACCGTCCACTCAACATTTTTCCCCCTCACAGACACATACAGTACTCCACCTGTCCGGTACAGCTCCAACTCTGACTGGTTGTCAGGAAACACACCTGCGGGTGAGTCTGTCACCTCCCCGAGTCTAACGCTTCAAATCACTGGAGWAATATAAAAACTTCCAAAGAAAAAGCAAGTATTTTGTAGGCACTATACATAAAAGGCACATTATGAAGTAAGTACCTGTATACCTGACTCTGACTTGCTTTGTAAGGTGTAGACCTATGACCAGGTAAGTATCAGGTATGTACCTGATAGGTACCTGACCATTACTTGGTTTGTACAGGGTACTTATACGTGTATCTTATGTACGGGGCACTTCTGATACTGGGTACAAACTTGATACTTGCTGAATATGTAACTGGTATTTACAGATAAGTACCCAGTACTAGCCAGGGATGTACCTGGTACATGTTGTATACTAGGTACTTACCTGGTACATGTTGTATACTAGGTACTTACCAGTAACTGGTACATGGTAAGTTCATGAAAAAGACTTAGTACCTACTGGAACCAAACTGTATTAAGTGGCTTTGTACCCTGTACTTACCTGTATGTACTCAGTACTTAGAATGTATGTAACTAGTATTTATAAGTAAGTGACAAGTACTTGCCAGAGTCTTACTTAGTACATGTTGAATACTAGGTACTTGCATGGTAAGTGCTTGAAAATTACTTGGTACCTACAGATGCAAGGCTGTATTATTAGGTGATGTTGTATCCTGCACTTACCTAGCATGTGCTCAGTACTTAGAGTGTATATACCTGGTATTTATGAGTAAGTGGCTAGTACTTGCCAGAGTCTTACTTGGTACATGTTGTATACTAGGTACATGCACGGTAAGTGCTTGAAAATTACTTGGTACCTACAGAAACAAGGCTGTACTATTAGGTGATGTACTCTGTACTTACCTGGTACATACACAGTACTTAGAGCATACATATCTGGTATTTATGAGTAAGTGACCAGTACTTGCCAGGGTCTTACCTGATAAATGTTGTATACTAGGTACTTACCTGGTACATGGTAAGTTCATGAAAATGACTTAGTACCTACTGGAACCAAACTGTATTAAGTGACTTTGTACCCTGTACTTACCTGTACATACTCAGTACTTAGAAGGTATATAACTGGTATTTATGAGTAAGTGACTACTTGCCAGGGTCTTACCTTGTACATATGATATACCTTCTAAGTACTTACCTGGTACATGATAAATACATGAAAATGAATTGGTACCTACAGGAACCATACTGCATCAAGTGACTTTGTACCCTGTACTTACCTGGTACGTACTTGCTACTTAGAGCATACATATCTGGTTTTTATGAGTGAGTGACCAGTACTTGCCCGAGTCTTACCTGGTACATGTGTACTAGGTAATTATCTGGTACATGATAAGTGCATGAAAATGACTTGGTACCAATAGGAACCAAATTGTACTCTTACCCTGTACTAACCTGGTACATKGTCAGTACTTAGAGCATATACATACCTGGTACATTAATGCAAACTGTTAGGAAATACTTTCTATTAATTGTTGCTTAATTGTCTTTATTTTATTGGGGAAAATAATTGATTTTTTACTGTAAACATTCTTCAGATTAGTTTTATGACTGTTTGGAATCATTCTTGTCAGCTGCAAATTATTTATTTGAAGAAAAAAATGAAATGAGATCATATAAATCTTTTAGATGACAACACACCTTTGGTAGCACAGCCAGGCCTCTCCTTCAGTTTCCTGGGACTTTTATGTAGATTAGGATTCTGAAACCCATTTCCAGGCACAGCAGAAGGCAGTGATGTGTATCTCTGTTTCTGTCTTGCAGCGGGGCCCCCCCTCAGGCGACCTGCAGAGTTCTGCTGTAATGGGCCTCCTCGTGGTTGGAGGTCTTCTGTCAAACCTCGGCGCTGAAAGAAAAGGTTTGAAGTCAGAATAAAGAATCAGAGGGAAAGAAAAAGGCCGATCTCCTCTGGGCTTTCTCCCGTGGGGTGGTTAGGGCGCTGAAAGGTTCATTTCCTGAGTGGACGGACAGAAATCTCTGTTTTCAAGAGTCGTCTCTGGCTGAAAAYGTTTCTTATTCCAAATATTTAATTTCAACAATCTTTTTGAGAGCCTTCGAAGAAAATAAAAGTCCTGTAGRGGCTCCTGAACAACATTACCCTGCACTTCCTGCAGACTAACAGGAACCCTCCTTCCTCCACCTCCTATCTTTAGAATGCTCCGGAGGGGTCCTCGCTGCACGGAAGGTGACCGAACCTCCTCCTGAAGGGAAAAAAACTGACAAAGTGWAAAGGGATTATTATTTTCTTTCTTCTTTTTCTTTTTGAAGCCGAGGAAGACTTCTGTAACGTCCTCGTCAAAGCCTCTGCTGAGTAAAATCAGCATGTTCAGGTGGAAGAGAGGATCATAAACTTCTCAACGGATTTTTTTTTTTTTAAGTTTTGACTTTTTTCTTAACTTTTTTGGGGAACTTATTTCAAAACTTTGGGTTTCCGTCGATACCAGTTGGACACCTCCAACTGATCAAACAGAGAATCTAAAAATCATCCATTCATCCATTAATCCATCATGCACCTAAAACTGTCATCACAATTAAGAATCACTCACTTGATTTCACTTAATAACGTTGTTTTTGGCAATTTTTTACTGACGTGTTTAGAAAATATGACAAATTTAATTTGACCTCAGCCAACAAAAATATCCTAATTGTCAAAACAGATTTAAGTATTACTGGTTAAAAAGGCCTAAATGACACAAAAGTCATGAAATTCTTCATTATTTTATTTTTATCAAAATGTGATGTTTGAAAATACTTACCAAATTATTTTTCCGTGTAAAAATATCTTTTTATTAAGCTCTTTTCTTTTCATTTGATGTTCCTTCATTTTGTTTAAATCTTAACAACAGAAGCGTTTTCTTTACATTGAGTGCGTACCTGCATTTCAGATCTGCATTTCTGGAAAACTACTGAAATAAACTCTATAAAGTCTCACCATTTGATAGAGTTCAGAAAAACATGGATTTCTGGATTGAATATGATGAGACACGTTCACATCTTAGGATAGAGTTCACGATTTCACATGCATGTTTTCATAAACACATATAGTCGTGCATTCTGCACACAGATACTGACTGTCCCAGCGACTCACTGCCAAACAATAAAACTCCTCCCTTCTCTCCTTCCTCATACCTCACCCCCCCTCAACTTTCATTGGCTTCTTTTAATCTCTGTTGGCTTTGCCACCTTGACAGGTAAATGCATTTGAGTCGCTGGAGCTCATAAAGGAGTAAAATGGTGATAAAGGAAGGAAATACGTCTCTGAGACGTCTCACTGTCTTATCTTTTCTCTTCCTCCCGCGCATGTCTTGCCTTTGAAAGAGCTAAAACTCTCATTACTCTGCTGTCAGCCGCTGCTTTTATTGAAGTTGGGCTAATGTGCTTTAAGGCTGCGGACGCTTGTGTTTGTTAACTGCAGAGCCCGCAGTATTGTTGCTGTGCACACCTTTCATGAGTATTTGAGCATTTATTGTATTTTTTGACAATTAAAGATTTAATAGAAAGATAAACTGATATTTTCTCTAGAAAATGTTTTTAAGTTTTCAGCTGCAGAACTTTCAGTTGCACTTCGTGTCTTCAGTAAAAAACTTTGAGCCCTTTAATTCTGCCTTTTAGCCGTCTGCACCATCCTCATCCTCCCTGCTCCTTTCAGTCTACATATCCACCCCTTCCTCCTTGCCTTACACTGTTTACATAGAATTAGAAATTCGAGCAGTGCTCTTGCTGATATTACCCTTTAAGGGAGTTTGGGACAGGATAATTGTCTCTGCTGGCTGTTTGTTTCTATGAAGTGTTTGTTCGTGTTCAGCTTTGAGAATGACCGCAGCTTCGCAGGTGAACTTTACCCCTCAGGCTGTTGGGTTTTTTTTCCCAGACTGTCTTGTTTTTTTGTTTGTTTTTTTACTCTGTACCTGAAGGAAAAATCCACTGAGGCAAAAGCAAAAGGAATCAGGGCCGAACAGGAACAAGCCCAGAAGCAGGAAATGTCTAAATTTAAATGGGTTAAGAAGTCAAAATACTATTAAAAGACATTAGTTTACATTTTACTATAATCATCCACTCATTTTGCCTATCTTAAAGCCTGGACAGCTACTGCAAATATACTTTGACATAATGTCAGTCTTTTGCTATTCTTTAAATCCGTGTTTCCCAAAGTTAGGGTCGGGACCCAAAGTGGGGTCCCGAAATGTCAAGGTGGGGTCCTGAAAAGATTTTCTGAATTAATTACATTTTTTTTCCTTAGTTGTTACAAATGAGTGAGGTTAGTATATTTAAAATGGATAAATGTAGTATAATAAATATTGTTACTATGCCCATGTTTTGTTGACCTGATCTACACATTCTCACTCCCAAGTCGTCACATATTGACACTTTTCCAAAGGTTCCCTCTGCGTCTTATTTTGACGCGCAGGGTACCCCCCTCGCGTCAGTCCTTGACGCCCGCGGATTTTCCGGGTTTCGCCACCAGGGGTCTTTGGGTCGGGGGTCTGAGGTTAACATGAGGGATCAGGATTAATGGTTAAATTTAGGTACTGGGATCAGGGGTAGTATGTCCATGGTGACTATTTGGTCATTTTACGCTTTATAACATGTTGACGTGAATTCCGTACATTTTCTAAAAATTGTTAATTTTAGGTACTACGGTCAGGGACAGGATGTCTAAAGTGAACAAAGGCAATTTCAGGCTTTGGAACGGTCGTTTTCGCACATTTTATACACTTTCTGAAAATATGACAACAGACTTCGCCCCATCTCGTCAGTAACTGACGCGACGGGGGTACCCTGCGCGTCAAAATCGGACGTAGAGGGAACCTTGCCAACGCGTCAATATGTGACGACTTCGGAGTGAGAATGGGTTGACCTGATACAAATGTTTATCATCCAAAAATAGATGGGGGCACAGGTCTCTGCTACTGTTTTGTACCATTCTGTGGGTCAAAAGCTGAAAAGTTTGGGAACCACTGCACTTTGGTTCCCAAAGTTGGGYTTGGGACCCAATTATGGGTCATGAAGCACCTTGGATAATCTCCAGAAATCAATTTAAAGGGTAATAAAATAATTGCTGATGTAATATTTTCCCTATAATTATTACAAAAACACAAAATAAGTAAAAAAAAATAAGTATTTATATTTGTGTATAAGCTGCTTAGATTGTCAAAAAGCCTGTGTTTTTAGGTTTATTAACGGAGTTCGTGTACTCAGACCAGTAACATTTGGGGTCACAAGTTTTTGCCATGGATATTTTGTGGGTCAGAAGATAAAAAGTTTGGGAACCACTGCTTTAAATTGTGTTTTGTATTTGCATTTGTATAAACTTAGCAGAAAAAGTAAGAAAATGTGTATTTGGCAGATTATCTCTTTGTTGCAACAAGGCTTCTTAGATATAAATCTTATAGTAGGCACCTGATTGGCAGCATCTGGGGGTACCAGAAGCAAAATAAGTAAAATAAGCTGTTTGGCAGAGAATCTGCTCATCCCACAAATGCATGTTCCTTACAAATGTGGCACCATTTGGGGAAAAAATGAACAGGTTCTACAATGATGTAAGATTAATTGCCAAGAAGTAAAGWAGCAATGTTACAACAAAGAAATAATTTRCCAAACATTTTTCCTTACTCTTTGTGTTAGGTTTTTAAACAATGCAAATTACAAAACAAAAATTTAAAGAAGAATGAAATTGTTTTTTCCAAGGGTCACGGTTAGCTTACGAAAGAGGATTAAGTCCACTGAAAACAAAAAATTATTCTGACTTTTGTTCCTCAGAATTTGGAAAAAGTCAAAATTCTGTCTTTAATCTCAGAATTCTTAGTTTTTCTCAAAATCCGGATTTTTTTTCTCAGAATTAGGAAAAAGTCAGGATTCTGAAATTAGTTCTGAGAAAATAAAACTCAGCTTTACTCTTTCAAAAAAATTAAAGCAAAACTCTGAAGAGAAAACAAAACTCTCAGACTGAGGATGACTGGATGTGGCATGAAATCTAAAAAAAACTGCTCGACTGGCTCCGGGGCGCAGATGGAGAAACTAAATAGTCAGGAACTAATGAGGACGAGTGGCTGCAGCTGTGACCGGTGACATGGGGAGCAGGTGTGGGTGGGCGTGGYGGGCTGGGAAATTACTGGGGCAGGAGTGGCAAAGAGGAAACACATTAACTATAACATTAAATCCCACAAAAGATCCGAACTATTTCTTTACTCTGAGCTCACCGAGGATTAAAAAAAATAAAACAGGTGTGTTTTTCCTTCAGGTACCCTTTGCTGGCAAATTAAACTGTGAAGTCGTTTTTCAGTGACTCAATGATGAACTGTTCACTCTGGTCGTTTCTGTGTTGTGGCTTTGAAAAAGTGTCACACAAACCAAACCAACACTGGTCTGACTTTTAGCTCAATGTTTTCAGGGTTTTATTTTTATTTTATTTTTTTGTATGAATCACGTGTCCATCTCTCTGCAGTGTTTTCTCTATCTGGTGACGGCCGTGAAGTCCTTTTTCAAGACGCAACAAAAAAACATCAGAGGACAGATAAACGAAGCGACATCTGTGATGTTTATTGGGTTCAACACCATGTGAATGTTGTATATTTTCCAAGAGGTTTTAAGTAGCTGCTTCATGGACACGTGAATTTGAGTTTGGTTTTTCTGCGTATGGAAACAAACAAAAGGTTTATTTACTGTTAAGGCAAAAAAAAGGCAAATAAGTCAGACATCAATTTAAGAAAATATGAGGAGAAATCGGACATAAAAATATTGATTTGATGCTAATCTGTATCCTTTAAATTCTCTTTTTACGGCAAAGTTCTAAAATAATTACATTTCTGAACAAAATAATGCAATTCGGATGCATTTGTAAAAGTTTTGTGCAAAATCATAATTGCTAAAATATAGATCAATTGCAGCTCTAGTTTGGTTTATTATGTTCCAGAGTCAAACAATTCAGTGTAAATTTTATCATCATAGATTTACAATCAAGGATTGGGGTTAAATTGATATTTTTAGGCTGTAAAATGTTGGTGCCTCTGACTTTTTTGCTTTCATAACTTTTCATATCTTTTTTACAGTGTAGGTGACGTGCAGATTGTGTGTGTCGGTGTGTGAACTGAGCTTCTGTAACATTTTCTAAGTGGTTGCAAGTCAGTGTCACGTCGAAACTGAAGAGTAGATTTACCTCCCTGCCTTCTGTCCGAGTTTCTTTCTGAGGCTGCAATCTTGTTTTGTAAAGAAATTAAACTTCCTGTCGGACCTTAAACGAGTCTCTTTTCCTTTTTGTTTCTGATTTCTGTTAAATCTGTTGCTAAACCAGAAACATTTCTTGTATTTTTTTTATGCAGCAAAGTTAAAAACGGTCTAAAAAGAAGAGAAGTTGCCTTAAAAGGATTAAACTGAATTTTTGACGTTAAGCTGCTTCGCCTCATCTCTCTGCGGACGATCCTGAGGAGAGCTAATGTTAATCTGCATTTCCATAATCTGCACGCGCGTGAGGCGCCGCGCACGCCGGCTGACAGATGGTCGATGGGTGGATGACAAATTACGACATGCTGCTGCTAAACAGGAGGGAGATTTTGAGTATCTGGCAGATTAAAGCGAAGTGATCTGATTGGCTCCCTGAACTCAAAGCTGTTTCACCAAAAGAGAGGGAGCTCCGAGTTGTGGAGTTACTCCAGATAACTTGAGTCACTTTTGATTTAAGTTGTTTAACAGTTCTGTGAAAGTCTCACAGTGGTGCCATCTTTGAAACAACTTGAAGCCATTATTTTGGGTTAATGAAGAACCATAACCTCAGTTTAATGGTCACCAGAACATTTAAACTCAGAAGTGATCAGAAAACAGATTTTAGGATTTTGATTTCAGCTCCTGCGTGGAGAGATTATGCACATTTCAGACACAGCTTTAATTACTCTGCATGAATCAGCTTGTTTTTTGGCTTGTTGCCTGGTCACTTAAGAAAAGTGTCCAAAAAAATGGATTCTCAGCTATAAAAACAGCTTGAATTGTTGCTGACTTCATAACAGCAACAATAAAAATGGTAAATGGACTACTTGTAKAGTGCCTTTCAATCCAACCAGGATAAAAGTGCTTAACACTACAACATGTGCCCTCATTTACCCCCACAGCACTCTATTAGATCTCTCTACAAAGCTAAAGAGTAACTAAGTACATTTACTTCGTTACAGTACATTTTGAGGATTTGTAATTTTTCCAATTTTTTTTAAAATAGCAACTTTTGTTTTGTTATATTTTAATGGTAAAAAAT